GGAGGGGGTGGGGGTATGGGAAAATATAGAAATAGAAGTTAGTTATATATATATAGGTACATGTTTGACCGTACAATTGAGTTACATACACCTAGGTTGTCGGTGGGCCAGACAAATTATGGTTTTTTGACACGTGGAGGCATGTAATAATTTTATGAGTTTTTGGTCAAGTTAATTTGTACTTAATTTGCACAAATTAAGTTGGCCTAGGATCATTTGACTTAGTGTTATAAGATTAATCAAATGTTTCAGGTTCGAATCTTACGAGTGGAGGTGTTTTTGATAGCGATTGTCGATGGCTTACTCCTTTAGTGAAGTTTAAAATATTTAGATTAATAAATTTTGATAGGTTGTTATTAAAAAGAAAAAGAAAATATTGCATATTTCATGTTTTTACTATGAAAGTTGAAGCATTGCATGAATAATTAAACAAAGTTTATTTTAGTACCTGACTATCCGTTTAATTTGGAGCTTCATATAATTCAAATTCACATTACGTAAGTCGTATTAAAAGAAGAAAAAGGATCTTTTAATTTCAATTGCAAAAGCTTGAACAAATAATTTCTCATTAAAGAATATGAAGAAAATTTATTTATTTCACATTTCATCGCAAGTCACAATCCTTGGTAATGACTATTATATAAAGTTAATTATGCTTATTTTGATAATTAAAACCATTGTTCTATACGTACGAATTCTATTAATCTCAAAAAATGTTACATGAGAAATTGAGAATTTATTGATGTTCCAATACCAATTATCAAATAGTTTAGTTGTTTTTACTCTTGTATGTATATTTCCAAAGACAAAAAGATTATGAGAGTAGATTCAAGAATAGAGCTTGAGGGTGTGTTTAATAAATTTTTCTTCGTGAAAATAATTTTTTTTAAAATGAGAAAAATAATTTTTTTAGTATGAAAAACAAGTTTTACAAATGACATTTCACATTGATTATATATATACTCGAGCCTTACCTTCTAAGTTCCAATGCACCTCATCTTTATCACCACTCTAATAGCCCCTGCCTCTGCTGTCTCCATCTCTTATAAATTTATCTCGATTATATAAATAATTTTAGAATAATATTTTTTGTTTATGTACCAAAGATTAAAAAGTAAGTAAAATAAACCTACTAATTTTCTTGAAAATTAATATTTTCCTTTGTACCAAATACACCTTGAGTTTGAGAGAAATTTGAATGGATGGAATCTCTACCACGATAGGAATTTACTATACTCAGTGTGATATGATTTTTCTTTTAGTCTATTTAAAAAGAATATTTTTTTGTATTTTTTTGATAATTTAGTTTTTAAAATGTGTTAATAGACAAGATGATATAATTAATCACATATGTCCAAGCTATATTTTGTTTTATTTTTGGCACACCTCCCTATGAGCTTTTAGGGGTGACTCAAGGATAAGACTAGGAAAGCATCCGCCCCCCAAAATTTTGAAATCCCAGAAAATTTTGGTTATGAATTTTCTAATTTTAATTTCACTTGAGACAACAATATTAAACATTATAACAAAAAATACAAAATTTACATTAAAAAAGAAGAAGAAAGAAAGCAGAACTATCTATTGTTTTATTATAAATATTTTAGAATTTTGAATTAAACAACTCAAATCTTCATATTAATAAGTAAAGTTTTTACAGCAATATTCAAGGTAATGTATTACAAACAAATGGATAACCTCTTATTACCTAGAATTAATTCTTATTTTTATATAAAATAATATTATTATATGAAGTTAAACGTTTTTTAAGAATATTACATTGAAAACAAGTAGAATGTAAGAACAAAAATGATAACCCTAAAGTAGAGATATTTTTGTGCATATATGTTTATATTTAAAGCCTATTTTTATATTTAGTTTTAAGCCACTAATTTTATTGAGACACTCTTCTAAGCTTTTATCCTTTTTGTTGCTTTTATCCATCGTTGAAGTATGTGACTAAATTCATCTAAAAGTTACTTTTAAATTTAAAAAAATGACTTCGAAGTGAAATTCTTTTTTATAATGAATGGCGCTGAGAAATAAAGTTAAGACATCTGTCTATCTGCTATTATATTATTTCAAAAAATGCATATTTGATTTAATTCAATCAACAATTACTACTATGAAATCGTAAAATTCATGTCTAATCATATTTGAATATCAACTATTGATATGTTATCAAAAAATATTATAGATACTTTCAATTTAGTTACAAAGTTTACAACTAATCTCAATTTCTTCTGTAGTGAACTAGCAAGCTTAAAAGTTGAGAATAGGACAAGACTATAAAAAGATACAATAAGTTCCTCTCTTTTAAAAAAAAGTTAATATGAAATAGCAACTCATTTCTTAAAGCTAAAAAATAAACACTTAAAAGCGTACACTATAACATGAAAGTGTGAATTTCTGATATACTACTGTATTTTGAAGTATTTTTCTGTCAAAGTCATTTTCTATCTTCTCTTCTCTAGTACTAAGCAAAGTATTCAAATCTTTGTACAGAGTTTAGAGCAACTTTTATAAGAAAACTCATTATTCCACAAATATATTGATTGTATGTGTGATGGGAAAAAAACTACTATTTTCCACTTTGTAAAAGAGAGCTTTTGGAATAGCATTTGTGAAAATGACTCTTGGTGGATAGATTCCTAAAATTAGTCTGGTTTGTCCATTAACTTATCCTTCTCTTAAAAAAAATATAATTTTATAGTTAGTTTTGATTAGTCTTTTAATTTGTCCTCTTCCTAAAAGAAGATTTACAATTAATCTGATTGGCTCATTAACTTGTCCTTTTCCTAAAATCAATAAAGACATTCATCCGCTTCATAAGAGTTTTCAACCACCAATAATATAATCGATTTTATAGTTCTAATTAATTGTCTTGATCCATGTGCTTCGAATACTTTACATAAATTAGTACAAAGGGAGTTATTAGATTCTATCTAAATTAGTTGTGTCAAATATAACTATACAAGAATTAAGTTGAAGTGACAAATTAACATTAGGGATTAAATATCAGTGTCATTTTCTCATCGAATGTTAGTATTAGTAAGTAAAATTATTTGGCATTTACTTTCACTTCATCGCAATTTTTTCTTAAACACATCAATTTCAGTATATTAGGAGTAATATATTTATGTCTAAGCATAAAACCTTATCCTAAGAGTAGCATAAGTTTCTTATTCGTTGAATTATTTGGCCTCTTTACTTAATTGGTATCAAACAATTATCACAATCTTATAAATTGACATATCTTTTCATTTTTATTATCCACCCGGTGTTTGGTATCCCCATTAAAGCTCGGTTATTTTGAATTTGTGTTGCGTAGGGCCTCATTCATGGAAGTGCTTCCTACCAAGAATTTTTTTTATACCTAAGACTCGAACTCGAAACCTCTGATTAAGAGAGACATAACTGTACTTTATGATTAACTAGCTAGCTTGAAGAGTGACACATAGTGATTAAGAAATTCTAACGAAAGAATTCGAATAAAATACTAGAATTAATACACATGTGACCTAAAATAATTTTGAGTCATTTTTACTACTATTACACTAGAAACCCTCTCTATGTAAATTTCTCTCTCTCTCTCTCTCTCACACACACACATATATATATATATATATATATATCATTTTCACTATGTACCTGATCAGTAAATGGTTTGATATGTTTGTGATTTTATTATAAAACATGAATGGAACTCCAGGTTACGGTGGGATGATTTTGAAATCTCTTCGTCATCATTATAAATTAAAGAGGTACATATTGATAAGAAGTATTTACTTCTTAATAAATCTATCTCACGTGATTCGAATTAGTTAATTAGCAGTATATATTTTTTAATGTTGTTGCCTAAAGAAAAATGAAAAAATGTGTCTTGGTAATTAATTATTCCCTTAATAAGTTTACCTGACGTGATTTGAATTAGTCGAATCAATGCATATTTATGAATATGTTTGTATTATAAACATGAACAGAACTCTAAGTTATGATGAGATGGTTCTGAAATCTCTTCATCTTCATTATAAATCAAAGAGTTAATTATTGATAAAAAACATTTACCTCTAAACGAGTTTATCTGACGTGATTCAAATTAGTCAATCAGTAATACATATATTTAAATATTGTTGCTTAAAGAAAATGAAAAATGAGTCTTGGTAATTAAGAAAAAAAAAATTCTCTTAATAAATGTATCTGACACAAATTTAAATTAGTCGAATAAGTGCATGTTTCCAAAAATCAATGCCTAAAGAGATCCCCACCCCACCCACCCCCAAAGAGGAACAAATACTACACACTCATGACCTTGTATAACAAAGATGGATCAAAAATTATACTTGTGGTTGGCTAATGTTGGGGCAAATGCTCTTGGTTTAATTCTTGATTAAAACTATAATTAGCAAGCACACATTATTATTCTCTAGCTAGGTACATCTAACTTTCTACTTCTTTTGGGAAAGATCTCCAAATTATAGGATTAAAATCTATATATTCTGATAAGCTAAGTTAGAATCTAAGATATATTCTATTTTAAAGTTTGAAAAATATATTCTAATGATCATTCAGCATCATTCTTACATAGTACAAACAAGACATTGAAATTCTAATATGATATGACTACAAATTCATTCTAGATTAAGCCTACTTTAATCCTAATTATATTGAGTGCCTTTGTCATTCCTTGCTTTTGTCACACACATATTGGTTGTAGGTTTTGTTTTTTTGTCCAAAAGTAACTTATATCCTTCCTATATTATATTAGTTGTCACATTACTAAAAATATACGTCCTACAATATTTATTAGTTTAGAAATTTAAAATCAGAATTCATTAACTTTTTTCATTATATCCTAAAGATTAATTGCTTTTGAAAATAAACAGTATTGATTAAATTGAAAAGACTAATGAAGAGCAAATTAGTAAAAACACTTCTTATTTATAATTTTTTGAAAAATTATCTAAAAGACATTACAATTAACATGCAACAAAAAATTATTACGTAGTTGAATAAGTCGAGCCGAACCGAGCCGAGTGTGCATCTATCCAAAATAACTTTTTTATTACAAAGATAAGAGTAAGGTGCACGTATATGGTCATTATCCGCCCATTTTTTCTCCGGGTCGGGTTTCAATTCTACTTTTACAATCCTACAAAAACCCTCAAAAATTGATTTTTTCCCTTTCTCCTCTTTGCTCTCACTGTTCATCAGTTTTGCTTCTGCTCACTGTGAAGAAGAAGAAGAAGGGAGCTCTCAAAATCTAAACCCTAGCTTTTCATTTCAAAAATGAACTGTTCAAGTAACATTTTTTATCCTTTTTATGCGCATTTCTATGCATAATTTTGTTATTTGTCACTGATCTATCGTTTTTATGTTTTTTCAATTGTCCGTACAATTTCCGGCGAGGTACCGGAAGAACCAGTGGTTTCAACGAAATCCGGACTACTTTTTGAGAAGCGTTTAATTGAAAGACACATCTCGGTTAGTTTGTATACTCTCAATTTGAGATTTTTTTATTAATGGAAGGTTTTATAAGTGCTCAGCGAAGGTTAATTTTATAATATTAAAATGAAATCAGCATGAGTAGAGAGGAATGGACAACAGAAGACTCGTATAGCCGACCTCGACTAGTTTTATAGTTTTACGCGTACCGTACCACTACCTCGAGGAGTTAGAGAGGCTGTTTCTGGAAGACCTTCGCCTTGAGTAATGAACTAATTTAATATTGGTCCTTAAAATTTAATATGATTGATTGGTTGATTGTAGTAAAGAAAACTAGAACCCGAAGTTATGATTTTGTGATTGTGATAAAGATATGTTATTAGGTTGGAAGATTATACATTTCTACCTATTAGCATAATCTGGAATTGGTGGTCTCTTTCTCTTCGAACTTCCATCTGTATCCTTCTCCTGAAATAATAGTACTGACCTGGGGTTGTCTTGATAGCTAGCTTGATGTGATGTTCCCTATCATTGATTTGTGCCAAGTCAGCTTCTCTCCGGGGGAAAAACTGAATATATAATTTAATGTATGACATGAATAATTTTCAATTTGATCGTTGGAAAGTTAAGAACTCTCTTTTACCTACCTTAGTTTTGGTGCATACATGAAACTCTGACATGCATAGTTGATTTTTTAAAGATTTCCGGGAGGTTTAAGTCGTGCTTGTATGGTGTAATTTTGTATAACAATGCCAACTTGGGGTAACATTAATAAATACATTTGATTTCTGAGAAAAATATTTTGCAATTTCTCATGTTTGCATCATTGCATGGTGTTGTTCCTTCTGACCTTTTTTGTTTGTAAAGGACTATGGTAAATGTCCGGTTACTGGAGAGCCACTGACAACGGATGACATTATTCCAGTTAAAACTGGCAAGGTACAGATCATTTTGAAATTTATTAGGATGACTTTGTTGTATTTTACATCATTACTGAAGTTCTGTGTCATATGATGTCAAATTGTCTTTTACAGTGGAGCTTCCTTTAATTGGAACTTTTTGCAGATAGTGAAGCCCCGACCTGTGCAGGCTGCCAGCATTCCTGGGATGCTGGGAATGTTTCAGATAGTATGTATTACTGATCCTAGATTTGCTGCAATCATTTTTTCTGCATTATTTGCAACATAAATATCATTGAGGTGAGGCCTAGTATCAGTTCAATCTACCTTTTATAGGTATGTAACTTATAAGAACTACCAGAAAAAAAAAGAATGCTAACCAAAATAATTGCAAGTTGTCTAATGAGCTAAGAACGTCTATATCTGTTGTTCCTTTCCTTCTTAATGGCTCACCAAGTAGAAGCTGGAATAGTGTGTTTTATTTATGCTTTAGTTATTCATTCTGTTAGCACGTATGTACTATCAGATAAAAGAATTGTAAACCCTGGACATTTTAATTTCATGTGTTCTATACACAGTTCTGTGTTCAGCTTACCCCGTGGTAGTTGGACTCAAATGTGTACCTGTAATATTAGATTCCTTTTTAGTTGCCATGTATAAAACTCTTTATATTTTAGATTGATTAGGTTTATTTTTGTCTTGTAGGAGTGGGATGGTCTGATGCTATCCAATTTTGTTTTGGAACAGCAATTACATACTGCAAGGCAAGAACTGAGTCATGCTCTATATCAGGTAATATAGAGCATCTTTCAAGGCATTGAGACAAGTCTAAAGAATTTATAAAGCTCCTTTTTTTCAATTTTTAAAAAAAATAAAGAAGTCCTGTTTGTTAATATACATTATTGGGCTTGATAGGAGTTCATGTATAGCATATCTTTGACCACTTTCATCATGAATGAATTAAATGATTTTTTGAGGATGGTGAATATTTATAGCTGTAGCACAAAAAAAAAAGCTCAATCATAATTTCATTTTTTATCTTATTCTTTTGTAGTTCAAAGATTTTCTCATATTATATGATTGAATCATTGAAATTGGGGATGATCGCTCCAAACTTTCCTTTCCCTTTCTTTCATATTCCTCTGTTGCTACTTGTTTGCCTCTTATGTGGATATGCATGTCTTATCTCTTGTATTCTTTGCACTTCATAAAAAAAATGATGCATTGCATTCTTTACTGGAATATCTGTCCTGTCTTGGCAGCATGATGCTGCTTGCCGGGTAATTGCTAGGCTGAAAAAGGAAAGAGATGAGGCAAGAGAATTGCTTGCACAGGCTGAAAGACAAGTACCCATGGCAGCAACTACATCAGCAGCCAATGGTGCTGCTCTAAGCTATGGCAACAGAGGTTCTTGATTTTTGAACTTTTAGGTCTACAATGCACCATCTTCTTTCCATACTTTCTGATTGATGATAATGTTATCAACTCGTACCAATAGCTACGGAGGAAGAGGAGATGGATCCTGGCAGTAAGAAAATTCGCCCAGGAATATCAGGCGATGTTATTAAAGAGCTTCAGGATTGTAATGCTGTTATTTCACAACAAAGGAAAAGGCGACAGGTAATATAATATTTGCGATGAAAAATTTCTATAAATCGAAGTTGCTCGGACTCTCCAAAAATGTTGCGCCCACTTGTGTCGTATTCTTAAAAAATGCACTACTTTTGAAGGATCCGACACACACCCGATGACATTTTGAAGAGTCTGAGCAACATAGCTATAAATAGTAAGGATGTCACTATGATATTCTATAATGATTATACAACTTTCATTTGCCACCTAGATACCTGCAACTTTGGCTCCTGTGGATGCTCTTAAGAGATATACCCAACTGAATAGTTATCCTCTTCACAAAACCAACAAACCAGGCATCTTGTCTCTGGATATCCATTATCCTAAGGTATGGACCCCATCTTTATGACTTTATCTGGACTATTTTTAATGATTCCCTTTCCATTTTTGTTATATCGCTATTCTTTTAACATTCTTGTTCATACACGAGACCAAGCTTCTGATCGATTTGATTATGAGCATCTCTAAACTACAAAAGTTGAAATATGAGTCATATCGTAACCAAAACTTCTGGCTATGTACAGTTGCCTAGGGTTTGTGGCGGCTTTGTTTCTTCATGAATTGTGAGTGCTTTATCTTAAGAACATCAGTAGTTTTCACTGGACTTTGTTCAAGGGACATTAAGTTTTGCAGTATCAAGTTCTTTGACTATGGACTTCAAAGTGAGCTGCCAATTTATATTTTTAACCTTCTCACAAGTATGCAGTATGCGCATCATGTTCACTTAATGTGTGTTATACATTGTTTTGGAAAACTCATTTCTTGAAAAGATGAAAATATCCCACTACTTCTGGGGAATTGTAAGGCTGATGTAGAAAAGCTAGTGATAACTTGAAAGCCAATGTTATTTTTGTTTTCCTGCTTAATCACAGGTCACTAACCTTTTATTATATTAGGACCAAAGATGTAGACCTTAGGATTACTTCTTGGATTCTATGAGAGCTAAAACCTTTGTGTTGAATGAGCAAAGTACTTTACTGGTAAATTGTACTATACTATTTTCTGTGGCTGGGTTAAGTCTAGTGCTAGGACTTATGCATATTTTCGAGGATGTTTCCTGTTGTTGAATCTTCACATCAAATATTTATCGTGATCAAATTTGAATATACACATTGTAGTTTGGCAAAAAATATACTCACTGCATGGGTGTCAAATGCTGTCACTTATCAGACATTCTATGTGCACCTTGTTACCTGGGTTAGAGATAAGTCTTCATTCATGTAAAAGATTTATCACCAAACTTAATATTGGTGGCTCAAATTTCTTTTTTACTTTGTATCAGGACATCATTGCTACTGGTGGAGTTGATTCAACTGCTGTAGTCTTTGATCTACCTTCAGGACAGATTGTATCGACACTAAGTCACTCAAAGAAGGTCTGTCATCTTTTTTCCTAGAAATAATTTCTGATTCATTATATTCTCCTTTTTTTATATCCTGATTAAGACTTACTTATTCATTAACCTTACTTGAGAAAGAATTTGTGGCTCATTTTCTCTCTTTGCAGGTAACTAGTGTCAGATTTGCTGCTGAGGGTGAACTAGTAGTTACTGGCTCTGCAGATAAGGTAAACCTGATTTGTTCTCTTTGATCAGAAGTTGCATTTGACTTGTACATTTCCTGTGTGTTGTTTTGTGGATTCAAATGTCATGATCTTCTCCTCATTGAAAAGTCAACTTCACCTTCTTATTTGTCTTGGAAAACATTTATTTCCCCCATTGCTTCCTACAGTTTGGTGGTATAGAGTGGTAATAATTGTTTGGAATTAATGGATGGTGGGTTTTCTTCAATTGCATAACCTGGTCCATGTTTTATTCCTGCCTACCATATTCTATTAAACTTCTGCAGTTGACTATTGCAGACAGTTCGTGTGTGGCAAAATTCTGAAAATGGAAATTATGACTGTAGGCATACTTTGAAGGACCACAGTGCTGAGGTACTTCATCTTAATATCTCATTTATTAATTCTGAAAATTATGATGTTGTTTGACCTCTTAAATATTTTAAGAACAAAGTGCTACAACTTATCCTGGTGGATTTGTACTAATTAAGGTGGATTATGCAATATTTTCTTTTGCCTTTATTAAAAAATTGTAAACTTAAGCCTTTATAAAAAAAATGGAAAATATTCTTTTGCCTTCATTAAAAAAAATGGAAGACATACTTTTTCTTGGGCTCTCAAACATAGAATGCACCTCGGTTGGTAGTTTTGATATTCAACCACTGCATTATGTTTTTACCTATGTTGCTCAGACTATCCAAAAATATTTCGGCACCTGTGTCAGATTATCCAACATGCACTTCTTTTGGAGTATCAGACACACACCCATCGACATTTTTGAAGAGTCTGAGCAGCATAGGTTCTTGCCTCAGAATGTTTCTTACCTAGGTGGGGAACATCAATTGGAAGAGATCCATGCCTAAGATGTGAAAGATTTGAATGGAAGTCTTTCCAATGGACTGGTGCTTAGTTGTAGTTGCAGATTTTCTCTATATTTCATCATTAGTATTTGTGGGGAAGCAATATGAACAAAATTTGAGCAGGGCATGTCTTTAGATTGAGAGAGAGAGAGAGGAGAGAGAATGAGAGAAGGTAGCCACTTCAAATGGCCCTTTTAAATGCCTACTGCATCTTTGAAGTTGGAATATCCAAGCGAGTAAGACCCAAGGAGCGAAGTCACTGCTGGAGTCTAGATGCACCCAACATGCAAGTCAGAAGGTGGGTCAAAAGGAAGGAAAACTCTTTGCTACTCAAGTCAGGATTGAAAGTCTTTACCATAAGTAGCCGCATTGCAATTTTCCACCTCTAGAATACAAACTTGGGTGGGTCAAAAGGAAGGAAAGCTCTTTAGCGCTACTCCAAATGCTTGTAGGAAAAATTAAAGATCATTTTTTTGCATGGAAATTGGTGATACCTTGTCCCTTGCCTTCTTTTATTATATGAGTTCTTCAGAGGCATGATATTACTGATTTCGTAAGAATGATACCACATCTGAAATTTTAGCTCTCTATTAACTATTGTGATTTTTTAACTGTAATGCATCTACCAATAAATTCAGGTGCAGGCTGTCACCGTCCATGCAACCAATAAGTACTTTGTGTCTGCTTCTCTTGATGGCACATGGTGCTTTTATGATCTTGCATCTGGTTTATGCCTTGCTCAGGTATCTTTCTCTTTCGTCTCTCATTTCCAGAAACAATTTTCAGATTCCTAGAGTCATCAACTCTAAAATTCTATTGCAGGTAGCAGATGCTTCAGAATCTGAGGGCTACACATCTGCAGCTTTTCACCCTGATGGTCTGATCCTTGGAGCAGGGACTTCAGGGGCTCAGGTCAAGATATGGGATGTAAAAAGTCAGGTGTGTGTTCCTGAAGAGCTATATAAGTTACTGATGTAATTTATCTTCTTTTATCTCCGTGTTCTTAGTGTTCTGTCCTTTCCCTTTTGGGTTCCTCTTTGGTGCCTGCTATATAGGCAAATGTTGCAAGATTTGAAGGCCATGTTGGCGCAGTAACTGCAATTTCCTTCTCAGAAAATGGTTATTTCTTAGCAGTGAGTATTCTATTACAGAACGAACTTTTGATGACCATTCTTTTACCAGCGTCAAGTGAGTTTTATGATTAAATTTTTTAACTGGTGGGTGTCCTGTTCTTTTTTTTTTTTGGTCAGCCTGCAGCTCATGATAATGTTAAACTTTGGGATTTACGAAAATTAAGAAACTTCAGAACCTTCTCTCTTTATGATGAAGATACAGCTACTCAAACAGGTACAAGACTGACTAACTGCATTCCCACTCTTAAAATATCTCTTAACTGCATTCTACTGGAGTTTGACACAAAAAACATCTTAGAAGACTTGTGTTGATCAGATTATCAGAAAGGTGTTGCTAAGCATTTTAGCAAAATTTTACTGTTAAGTCCGCACAAAGCAGTTTCAAGGCCAAGTTTCTTGTGTTGTAGATGAACCTATAATATCCATGAGTATGCTATCTTTAGGAGTCACATGCATAATGGGTCATTTCCCTTTGCACAGACCTCAATCTTTATAAGCTTTCTGATGCCGCATAATCGTATGGTGTACCTGTCAAAAAATAATCATTGTACCAACTATATCTTAGATTTATCCTCCATTACTGCAGTTTTAATCATTTTCTGCTTCTCCTGTACTTGCAGTGGAATTCGACCACAGTGGAAATTATCTTGCATTAGGAGGCTAAGATATAAGGTAAGACTTCTACACAAACTTCCCCGTGCTGAGTCTTAGATAAGGAAGGTGCATTACCCCCGTAGAGCATCAGTTGTTCGAGTGTCTTGATTTTGCTTCACTTGTACTCTTCCTGTAGTATTACCTTAACCCCCTTACTGGTTTCGAGGACCATTAACCCTCCAAAATGAAAAATATCAATGAGCATAGTACGGGGTTGAGGTGTAGTTGTCATTGTTATGTTGATTATGACTATTGATCCATTAGTATTAATATGGACATAATTTTGCGCTGAATCAGAGTTTATCAAGTTGCAAGTGTTAAGTCCGATTGGAATTCCATCAAAATCCTCCCCAACTTGTCAGGCACAGGTTAGCTTTCTCTCTGTTACTCTTTTTGCCTATATGTCCTTTTGATGGTCCTTTAACGTTTAATTACATCATTGTTGACTCTGCTATCGCCCCATGTAGGTAAAGCAACATGTCTGAAATTCGGTCCAGATGCAAAGTACATAGCTGTTGGATCCATGGATCGAAATTTAAGAATATTCGGGCTGCCTGAGGAGGATCAATCAGAGAGCTAGCCTTGCGGTTATTAAAGCAAAAATACTAGCCCTACATTTCCTGCTGCAACATCGAATCAGAGGTTGATAGAGATTTGTTGTTCTTTCAAGTGTAACTTCATTGGTTTTTTGTTCAATATAGTTCCATTCTACTAGGGTTCAAACATATGTACTACCAACATGGGATACTATTCTTGGTGAAATGATGTTATATCATTCATATTGTATTTAGGAAAGTAGTAGTCTTAATGTACTGATCCTTTACCTTAAAAACCAGGATATGCTCAACAATTTTGACTTCCTTTCATCCCGTGACTTCTTCTCATTTGTCCAAACCTCGATGGATAGAGTTACCTAGTATTCGTGTTAGTGAGAGATAATGGGATACCTCCTGGAATAAGTTGAGGTGCACGTAAGTTGGTGTATATAATAAAACACTTTTTTTCATGAAGAATTTATATAATAACAGTGACAAAACTTGAAATGTTTATGTCATAAACAAGAAGAATAAGTACCTATAAGCATAATGATCAGCTGACTTAAATCTACACTAACTAAAGAATCTCATTTCTTGATACAACTTGTACACCAGAAACTCTCCAAAATTAAAATGGAGACAAACTGCTTCTTGGACATCAAAGAATAAATAATCACTTTTCTAAATTTTATCGGATAAATCACAAAAACTAACATTTCCAGCTTACTACGAGGTGAGGTATCGAGATGCATGTGTAAAACCCCACAGCTGCATCAAGAAAACGAAACTGTCAAATCATCGGTCATAGTATATTCAGCAAATTGTTCAAAACAGTATAGTTTTCTGGACAAGATTGGTAGTACATTACCTCAACATTTTTCAACTCAAACTCTTCATCATGTGCCAAGCATAAGTTCCCAAACGTATCACAAGGTCCACTATTACCAGATAACCTTCATTGAAAATTATTTCATAACGATGATGGAACTTCAGAAAATTGTAATGAAGAAAACTGCAAGCCACAATGTCGAGAAACTTACAGATCTCCATCCAAACATAACGCGAAATGTCCACCTCCTCCAAGTGCCAGGATTTCATTCATGCATAAGTAAAAATATCTGTTGGCACCTAGTCCCAAACAAAAAAACGAAAAAAATACTAGGTAATGTGCTCCTGGAAATTTTTATGTATCGTGCATTACATGTATCAAATACGTATGTAAGGTTCACCTTATAGAAAGTTACATAGCAAGCTCGAACGAGTAGTATCATACAAAAACCAACAGCTATATGATCAGTATACGTTATGGTTGAAGAAAATCTTATATACACACACACATGTTAGACCAATATATAAACTCTTTTGGCGATAGTGTATAATTTAAGAATGTACACGAAATACATAGTACGATAGAATTCCTCAACTGTCTTAAAGATTACTTACAAAGACTCCGTGAGTGTTTGTTTCATTCTTGTATTTTTCCTTACCTAACGCCACCCCACACCCCAAAGAATAGTAGGAATCTTCGACTAACTACGAAAGAGAAGTCAAGCTGTGTGGTGTACTAACTCACTAGATAAGTAAAGGGGTGTCAACTTAGCTGAAAATTATCACAAATGTTGGCTTTATAATAGATTTTTATCACCTAAATTTAGTTTGAAGCTAGTCTTTGACGGTCATTTGTATATTCAAATAGGTTTATACTGAAAGATAAGTAGCTTGGTCGACCTCATATGTAACAAGGATGATTCCAGTCAAAGAGATATACGATATAAGGGTTTATCGACTTGATATACTTACCTGTAGGTCTGAATAGCCTTGGTTCACCATATACAGTTGTGAATACAAATGACTGAACTGTTCCCTGTCAGGATAATATATAGAATGAAAGCATCTTAGCAATGGATATAAAAATGAGATCAGTGACTGAATAAGCACAAACAATCTACCGTTTTTCAAACATTTTTATTAACAATGGAAAAATCCCCCATATACATACCAAAAAGTAGACAATCTAAAACATTTTACGATTCTCTACAAGATACCTACAAGAAAATACGATATTTCTTCTTGGAGAAGGGTGTTTGTACAAACGACGCTAAGTCCTATGTACGTAAGTATACAATAAGTCTTCATAGGAAGGGTGTTTGACTTCGTAAAATTACCAAGGGCAACACTAGACAACAAAACCTGGTTATTTGTACTTGGGATATTAGTTTACCATAAGTTCGAATTGATTAAAAGAAAGTGAATACGGGCTATTGTCAGTTGTCTCGTGTAAAAGGAGAAGAAAAATTATTACTTACTTGGTACTTTCGCTTCGCGGTAGGCCTGAGTGGTGCCTCAAGCAACCCACCAAATACAGCACCTTGTTTATCGCCGGTAATCTGGAACAAGCATGATTAAGAGAAATGCACATCAACGATGAGGAAAAAGAATATGAAAAAGGATACTCCCTCTGTTCCAATTTATGTGGCATACTTTCCTTTTTAGTCTTTCCAAAAACATGTCACATTTCTATCATTGGAAACAACTTAACTTTAAAATTAGTCAAACGGTGCCACATAAATTGAGACGGGAGAGTAACATATTGGTAATGATGGACATAAAGTTTTTGCAGTAATGTGGAGGCAAAAATACCAGCAAGCAAGGACCAGAAGAATTAGCACTCATGCGAATTAGCGTACGAAGTGATATACCATGTTTCGCGGTGCTGCCCTTCATTCAAATAAACAGAGTAAATATGAATATTGAACCGCAAAAATTGCAATACATCTTCAATGGAGACTAGTTCTAAGTCGAAGTTACCTATACAACAAGGACCATTGACAGCCTTTCACTATATTAGGGAGATAAGACTGGAAAAAATCATACAAGTCCGGAGAAATGAAAACAGAATCATCAACGAGATTAGGCATGGACTGCTCTAAACTGCCTCCATCAGATGCATCTTCGAAAGGTTCAAAACCACTGGCGACACTCCTTGCAGAATTAGGTTCTTCATTACACCTAGGTGTATAGAACGATTCGTTCAACACACCAATTGAACTCCTGATCAAGCCATTTTCACCTTCTTCTGTGTGATCATTATGATCATCACATGCTGCGTATCTCTCCAAAGGTCTATCACGCCATGAGAAACTTTTACATCTCCACGTAAAAGAATGTGATCGAAGCGACTTGACATCATCTTCATCTTTGAACTTACTAAAACTCATTGACGGAAGAAAGATAGAAAGTACAGATGATAAAGATCTTCCCTCTTTGGTGTATGGCCTGGCCTAAACACAGAGAACTACAATGTCACAAATAATAAGCTACCGGAGGATTTCATTTCAAATATTCAGTGTTCTTTGCTAATTATCAATATTTCTTCCTCAGAACAAAATAAAAGTAAAAAAATACAACTTGTTTGTGTTGGTTTCACAACTCTTCAACTTCCATTTGGTCATATTTCATTGCAATACTCAATAATCTCGAGGTCCTTTGACACTTGAAGTTCTCTACATTTTCTACAAACATACAAATCTCTAAACGGACTTCAAAGAGACCTCACAAACACCTAGTGTAAGTACACCAACACGACTAGTGCTTATCCCATCTCGTCTTTTCTTCTAAAAAACTAAGAAATTATTCATATTTGCAATCATCAAAAAAACGAAAAAGTAAACAATTATGAACAACCAATCAATCCTTCTAACAAGGAAACAAAGGCAACGCCACTTATCACACAATTACAAAGCTCTCCATATCTTTTTCAAACTCACAACCAATTTAATGCATTTTCTCATTACTCATCTCAATACAAAAGAGCAGCTTCAGTACACTAAGCTCCCGCTATACACAAAGTCCAGGGAAGGCTCGAACCATGCACAAAAGTCTATTGTACGTAGCCTTACTCTCATCTCATTAAATGTGGTGTCCGTGCCAGCTCGACTAGTTCTACGAAATACATGCTACCCCACCAACACACGTTGGACAGATGAAAAAAAATCACCTAGTATTTTTGCGTCCGCTAAAATTTAAACATGATACCTCATAGGTGCTCATAAAAATTGAAACTTTAATCATCAAACAACAATCACATTGCTTTAAAATCATAATATCAACATATCAAAAGCAAAGATCTAAATTTCACAACAATATAACATTAAAAAAATCATTTTTTTGCTAATTTTAATAAGATAAAGAGAAAAAAAAGAACCTGAGGTTGTTGATCTGAAGATTTAGAAGGAGAATCAGAAAAAAGACGTGAAAGCTTCTCAGAAACTGTATCCTTTATGGAATTCATATCTTTTTTTTTCTAATTTTTAGCACTTACCCAATTCAGAATCTTTGAATTTTAATGCAAAAATGAGTATTTCAAAGGTAAAAATGGGTTCCTTTTATTTGACTTTTGCTGTTTATTTTTTGGTGATTTTGCAGACTGGAAAAAGGAAATTTTGGTGAAAAAGACAGAAGAGAATTGTCGTAATAGCCGGAAAAAAACAGAACATAAAAAATAAAAATAAAAATAAAAAAAAACGATTTTGACGAAAATTTGGATTTTTTTATTTTATATTTGGTGTTTATATTTATATTGGGCGGATAAATTAGTATTTGCATCCTATAAAGCTTATTTAAAGGAAAAGTGTTATCTAAGGTGATTTGTTTCGTATTAAAGACTTTGAAATCGAGATTTTTATTAAGAATTGAAAAAAGAGACATTTTTTGACTAATCTCGTATTTTGAGGGGGACTCATCTAACTTTAAAAAAAAAAAAAATTTTACATCTCAATTTATGTAATACAATTTAATATTAAATATTTGTCAAATAAAAATGTATTCTCTTTGTCCTAATTTATATAACTCACTTTCTTTTTTAATCTGTCTCAATATTTTGGATCTATTCCAAAAATGGACTATCTAACATCTAATTTTGCGTAACATATGTTTGTCTATATATATTTTTAACTTAATAAAGAATCAATTGTGAAATATATATAGGGTGTGAAACTGTGAATAAATGACTTTTCTAGAAATTTAATATTCAAAGAGTATGGATAGGGCATTAAGAAAAAAAAATGCATTTATATAATAAAGTCAATAATGGAGTGCTTTGAATGTTGAAATTTAGAAAGTTGACTAATTGACTCAACTCTAAAGTCTCACTCCAAAATTTTCCTATAAATACCTTCTCAAATATTTCATTATCCACATAGCTCAAATCTTTCTCAATAACTATAATAATCTTTTTTTATCATTTTTTAAAATTTTTCAGACAAAAATAATATTAATTATGGGTGTTACTACATATACCCAAGATATTGTAGCACAAGTTGATGCAAATAGGATTTTCAAGGCTTTGGTTCTTGATGCAGATAATATTATACCAAAATTGATGTCACAAGCTGTTAAAAATATTGAAACTATTGAAGATCATGATGAAAGCATCAAGAAGATGAACTTTGTTGAAGGTATTAACTTAGCTTTTTTAGTACTGATTCGTTTGTGCTGAAGATATAATTAAGTAAAAACAGTGTGTTCTTTCTAATAATTTACGATTTTAGATGGATAATTATCCATCCAACATAATTTTAGAGTAGGATGAGGTCTTGATTAGTTCGAACATATTGTGGTAAGATATTCATGTAAGATAGACTATGCTGAAGACATAATTAAATAAAATGCATGTGTTATTATGATCTCTTTATATTGACCTAAATTTTTAAATAAGATGATTATATTATTATATTATAGCTAAAAGTTATATTAATTGTGACAATTAATCAAATAAGGTAGAAAGGTGATTTTTTTCATTACAAAGAAATGAGGTTAATTAATTTTTCTGATGACTTTATAACTACGCGATGACCCCTTTATTTTCCACAAATAAGTTTAGAAAAATTACGTACATTGGGTAATATATTGAATATTTTATATGTTTATTTCTTTATAATTTCTTGTGAAAATCTTTACTCAAAAGTCGTTAAGGAAAAAGTCTTTTGTGATGACTTTTTCCAATTTTTATAAAGTTGCTATGAAAGTTCCATTTCTTGTTTGTGCTTCATAATTTTCTAAATTATTATATAATGATTATATTGAAGGCACAAAAGTAAACTATAAAGTTGAAAAAATCAAGTCCAATATAACTTCTCCAACATTTGAAAAATAGAATAGTTAAAAAATTATAATATAGTATAGATCGAAAACAAAAAAATATTTAAAGACGGACAAAATTTTATAGCAAATCTCATTTAGCTATAGATTAACGATAAATTGTAAGAAAATTCAGTTATGTAGGAATTGTTTAGCGACAAATTAACTAGGAATTACCGATAGTTCCAGAGCTAATTTCATATTTTCTTATAGTGAAACAGACAAAAAATAATATTTTTTTTTATGGTGGCAGGATATCCAATAAAGTACTTAAAACACAAGATCCATTTCATTGACAACAAGAACATGGTAATAAAATATTCATTAATTGAAGGAGAAGTTCTTGGAGAAAATTTGGAACATATTTCCTATTATGTTAGATTTGAAGAATGTGAAAATGGAGGGTGCATTTGCAAGACAATAAGTGAGTATCATACAAATGGTAATTGTATAGTCAAAGAAGAAGAAATCAAAGAAGATAGAGACAAAGCTATTGAACTTTTCAAACTTGTTGAAGCATATCTTCTTGCTAATCCTTTTGCCTATGTTTAATTAATGGTTTTAATTTATTAACTTTTCAAGAGTTACAACTTTAATTTTTGGATTTTTGGCTTTGAAGTTGAGTAATGCATGTGCATGTGTTGTGTTATGTTGTTGAACACATAATTAATTAAATTAGAGTTTCTTTTTCTAAGATGTCATTTGTGTAACACTAGATAAATTGTTGTTGTGATTTCTCTCTAACAACTTAACATTTTTATGAGATGGTTAAATATTTTAATATAATACTAGAGCAGATAAAAGTTAATTTTTAGCGATATAAATTTCACCATCACTTATTATCAAAAAGACTTCAAGAGAAGAGTGTTTTGGGACATAATTAAAAATAAATATTTATAACAATTTAAGCATTTAGATGAGATCGATGATCACGCACTTCAACGATACAACTTTTTAAAATAAACCATTACATTTTATTTATCAAATCAAATAATATCACATCAACACAGAATTCATGAAAATATAATTTAGTAGATTTTCAAAACATTCCTAATCGATCCCTTTTATTCCAAAAGGACTTTGTTTATAATTTTATTACTTTATTTTGGCAAAAGCAATTACAAGAATGATGAATATATAGTTTATGTCAATTACATTACTCTTTTGTTCCTTTTTGAATTGACCACCACGTACCAAACAATATTTCCAGCATCTGCCTTTAGTTTCCAACGTTCACATCATATATTGAATTTCAAAAGCATAGTATATATCATACATACTTTTTCCCTCCTACATAATTTACCTGACATTCTTTCTTTTTCTTTGTTAATTAATTTACGTGATACTCTTTCTTTTTCTTTGTTAATTCGTTTAAAAAGAGTAATTTTTTTTCATATATTGCAGTAACACTTAGAGTAAATAGAACAAAGGATAATTGATGACATATGAAACGCGCAAAAAAAATTATAATTTAAATGTGCTTTTAACCATCATCAATTTTGATTATAAAAAAAATAATTAAAAAAATCCTAAAATACACATGTAAACAAATTTTCACATATTAATGACAAGTTTCCTCTAAAAACTAAAGGTCAACAATTATTAACTAGAAATTAAAAAGATTAAATTAAAAATTACAAATCATCCAAATATGTTAATAACCTTAATGGTCAAAAAAAGAAGTTGAATTCAATTACTATTTCCCTTTGTATTCTATTATTTTTCTTGAATGTCCTCTAAAAAAATCACCTTCCTCTCCTTCCCCAATTTTCCTTGGGGGTCTTCTTCCACGTTAATGCCAAATTCTTCCCCTCGTCGTCCCATCAACGACGGGCGGCGAGTGGAAATATAATTTTCTATTCCACCATCATTATCAGTCATCATCATTCGTGTTTCAAAATGCCTCCCAAAATGGGAGCCTTGAAACCTTTTCAATTATTGGAGGTAAACATTATCTCCGCGCAAGATTTGGAACCTATATCCAAGAAAATGAAAACCTACGCGTCCGCGTGGGTCCATCCTACCCGAAAACTCACCACTGGGGTTGATACTGAAGGTGGTAACAACCCCACGTGGAATGATAAGTTTGTTTTTCGGGTAGATGATGAATTTTTACAGCAGGATACTTCTGCCATACAAATTGACATTTTTTCGGTACATTGGTTCCGCGATTCTCTTGTGGGGTCCGTTCGTGTCCTTGTCGGAAACCTTATCCCTCCTCCCACTAGGTTGCAACATCAACAACACCATATTGGTATGCGTTTTGTTGCACTTCAGGTTTGTTTCTTTCGAGTATTTTGATCTTTTTGTGAATATTTGTTTACGTGTTGCATGCATGCATGCATTCATGCACATCTTCGTTTATGAAATTATCCCTTTATTTTCTTTCTACGTTATATATTTTTATAGATGAAATTGTGGAATGTAATATGTCCAATATTCTTCCATCTCCATTGTTTGATGTTCATTCTATTTTGTTTCTAATATACCCTTTTTGAAATTTCATATTTTTTGTAAAATGAGATTTCATTATTTTTATGTGATTAAATAGCTTCATGTCAAGTGAAAAATTAGACAGACAAATTGAAACGGAGGAAGTATGTTACATGATGGTCCTTGCCTATAATTCACTATTTCTTTGAATAAATATGTGCAAAACTAGCATTTAAAAGTTTATTTTTTCTTTTTTTTTCTTGGGATATAGATACGTCGTCCCTCAGGGCGTCCTCAAGGAATATTAAACATTGGTGTGACATTACTTGGTGGTACTATGAGAAGCATGCAACTATACAGACAACTAAGTATGTCAGCAGTTGGATATCGCGATTTAATGGATGAAGATGCACATCTACCCAACTACGACCAAAAAACCCTAGATGCTCAGAAGGACGATAACAACAACAATGCCATTACGTTAAAACCTATACTACGTCGTACAAGGAGTGAACGTAGCGAACGTGTCACGTTCGATAGCGCCTCGATGGCTAATAGTTCATTAGTTGCAGCAATTTCCCACAAAAAAAAAGTTGTGGCTGTTGAAAAAGAAAGTTCAATACTTAGTATTTCATTTGAGCCACCAAAACATATGATGAAGAAAAAAGGTAAAGCAAGTTCTGTTATAAGTGGTGCAGAATTAAGAGAAAAGCTCAAAACAAATAATAAAAAAGGTAAATCTGGATCAGTATTAAGTGATTCAATTGTTAGTAAAGAGTCATCTTGTTATATACATAGGCCCAAGCCCAAGCCCAAAGATGAAAAGCCCAAACTAAAACTTATAGAGTTAGAATTTGGGGATAAAGAAAAGCCCATTAATGAAAAGAAGGGTGGAACCGATTCACCGACAACTAAGGTAGTTGATGAAAAGTCCATTACAATAAAGCCCAATAAAGGTTTGGGCCTAGATGTAAGCCCAAAAGAGAGACAAACAACAGTTATTGGAAAGCCCATGTTAAGAAATAATGGTGGGTTTGATTATGGAGGCCCAAAAGGGCAAAATGGGAAATTTGTATTTGGAGGCCCATTAAAGGCCCATTCAGTATGGTCTGATTCTGAAGTTGGGCCTTCACCTTCTGAAGTGGCTGCTGCTATTGCTGAAAAGAAATATCCTTTAGAAGAGGAAAAGAGTTCTGTTTTGGATGGTTGGAGTATAGATGAAAGCGTCGAAGGGCTCCGGTCGAAGCTCGAGAGGTGGCGAACTGAGCTACCGCCATTATATGATCGGGGAATGGCGTCGAGTAGCTACCATTCAACTGGCCGGCATACGAGAAGGCATACTGATGGTGGGAGTGGGCTTTTTTCTTGTTTTGGTAACTTTTATGGTTATGAATGTCAATGTGTTTGTGGAAAGCCCAAAAGGAGAAGAATGAATCCAAAGTTTCAGAGCCCATCAGTTGGAAGCAGGTCATGGGTGTAAAAAGCCCAAGAAAAAGCCCAAAATAAGATTTCAAAGGGCAATTGTGATAAGGGAAAGGAAAATGAAGGAAAATACATTATTTGCAAAGAGAAAATATTTATTATTATTGTTTTTAATTAATAAGATGTTGTATTATTATTTTTTTCCATTTTGGTGAACTTAACCGAACTATAATTCATTTTGTTTTATGGTTCATCACTGAATTCTTTCTATTTTTTTCGAGGCACATATAGGTCAGATTAGGCGTGTTTATCAGTCAGTTTCATACGCCTTCTAGGTATTTTGGTTTAGTATGGAGGAAAATATTTTCTTATATTTCCATCAAGAAGATTTTTAAGTCTTTATAACTATGTTATATAATTTAAAATAAGTGTAATGTGTAAGTTTTTCACACAAATAATTTTCCTTTGTTACCTTAAGCAAAAAAATTATGGAGTGCATTGCTTAAACTATAATTAATTAAAAATAAGTGAATAATTTATTTTTTTTATATCAAAAAAATAATTTATCTTTTTAAAAACTAGTGATGATTATGCCCTATGGGACCCATATATGTTTGCCATTGATATAAACACTCTTTTCAAAATGATGAATTCTTCCTCTTCAAGTTTCATTTGCAATTTCTCACTCATCATTTTTCAAATATATATATATTTTTAGTCTGATTTGTTTGCCATGTTTTTTCCTTTATTTACTGGAAAGTGTTTTTCTATGTCCCCTACCTTTTTGTAGAAATGTAGATGTTGTGATTTATTTTCCTTGGTAGATTCATATAAAATAAGTTGAATTTAATTAGTTTGTGTTTGAACATGTGATATGAAGTGTTATTTTAAATTATTATTTAAACGTGTGATTTGGAATCACGATTTTTCTTAATTATTTTATTTTATATCCGATGTCTGGTGTTTTGTACCTATATTAGAAGTTTAGAACTTGATTAGTTCGAATTTAGCCTGAGGAAGCATTCTTTATCAAGAAAATTTTCATATTCAGAATTTGAATTTGATATCTCATATTAAGGAAAAACACATTTTTATTGCATCACATCCGTCGGTGATATGCTTTGATCTTTAATGAACATAGTTTTATACAAGTTGACCTTAAAATTAGTTGGTGTTAACTTTTTAAAGAAAATTAATTATTTATTTATTGATCTATATAAAGCTCTCTTATACTGCCATACTGGCATTGTCTCTAGATAACATGTTTACTAATTGAGTATTATATTACATTTTATTAAAAGTTAATTTGGACAGAATAATAACAATAATATTTGATCCGACAAAGATCATATCTAAGATACAAAACTTTAATGTGGTTAGTTAAATAATTAGCTTAATAGTACTATCAAACATGAATCTATTTCGAGGCCTGCAAAAAATATCATTGTCGCATAAAAAGTTACTACTTCTCCGTTTTCTTTTACTTATTCAGTATGAATACGATAGATATTGAATTATTATAATAATAAAAAAAAATCTAATGTCGTAATTTTGATATAATGATATTTAATTTATTTTTATTTATATATTTGATATGGTATACAATTTTTATAAAAAGAATATCAAAATACAAAACAACATATTGAAGTATATAATTACATAAACATACATATATGTTGTTATAATCCTAACAAATATATAAATTAGTATTAGTACAAAATCAATTATTTAGACAACGGAATTCTGACTACACTATCTTGATTCGACTTTTAGTATCCATCATTTACGGCTAGGACTACTGAGGTATCTAATTTCATTCGCTCCCCTAGCTAATTTTGTCT